CTATCACGCATGAAAGCTGGAATACTTCGCCAGCAAGTGTCACTGAGGAGGCTCCCCAGCCACAAAGGTGCCGTGTCAGTGGAGGGGGGATGAAGTCTCCATCTTAGGGTGCCCAGCTGCAGGTGTGGGTCAGGCAGCTCCTGCCCCACACAATAGAACCACACCACAGTGCAGATGAGGAGTGGTCAGGAGCTGAGTGCACTTTTTAGGATGATTCCATTGAAACAAAGCAAAGAACCAGAACCAGGAGCATAGAAAAGTGATTTCTTACCTGTTCTTCATCCATAAATTGATGATCAAGAGCTTATTTTCTCCTTCCAACACACCAGGTTTACTGAGTATCTCCTGCTTTTCCTGCCAGGCAGGAACTCGGAAGTCCAATTGGCATCTTCAGAATCCTTTTCGACCCTCTCTGCCTTGTGAAATCAATATTTAATGTACTGATTTATCCTCATTTAGTTTTTACTCAATCAAAAGCCACGGAAAGGAGTCTGGTATAGTTGGTACCAGAGATCATAAACGCCAACAGTAGCATTGCGATCCTGCTTTCATTCCCCCATTCTGCAGCACATCTCACCCCAGGCTGGCAGTGCCCATTCCCATGAGCATACTTCTTCCATCAGCCCATGACATGGTACCTACAACCAGACCCCTCTCTCTGGTGATAGGAACACAAAGTACCAGTTCCCCATATGTTATATCACAGCCCTAACTGTGGTCAGGCAGATAGCACTGCTTTACTGGAGGTGAAGGATGCTGACAAAGCTGGTTGAAGCTACTAGGGGTGATAACTACTTTCCATTCAGGAGAACGATCGCATTCCTGGGATGCTTAGGTTAGGTTCAGGATTTCAAAAGTCAGCAACTGTTTAATACAAAGTTCATAAGCAGAGTGGAAACAAGGACAAGATTAAAGGAATTTCCTCCTCACTTCCTGCTAGATTAGATCCCACCCCTCTTCGGCTTGCTTTCTGCCATATGAATCTTGTGTTTCTTGTCAGACACTAATAGCTTCAAGAGGAGGAACAAACCCAGATAAGCATCTGGCTGAGTGTTAGGGAAGGAGTTTGAGGTCTGAAACCACCTTCTTCTCATATATATGAACATGCAACTTATTCCTCCTCGATCCAAGGAGGACAATGACAAGAGATTACCCACTTCCTACTGAAAACCACCCAATATACAAGCATGGATTAAGTGGAAGAGACAAGCAAAGCTTGATATTGCCAGAGCTATTATAGGATCTGGATGTGACACATGGAAGAGACTGTCTGCTGCTGGGACCTGCATGCATATGTTCATAGCATGGTGGGGTTTAACTTCTGCAGTGTTAGACAAAGTAGCTCCTTGTTTGAGGTTTCCTTCTGCCTTTCCACTTTCTGCCACCTTGCTCCGATATGCCTTGGGATGCAGTTTCACGTGCTGCCACCTCCCCCTCTTTCCCAGTCATGCATCCATGTATATTCTCTGTGTCAGCTCCAGTACACAGGCACACAGGACTGACCCCTTCACAGCTGGATGAGCTTACACCAGCTTAAACCAACCACAAAACCAAGCCCCTCCAGACCTGATTCGAATCAAGGTTAGGAAGGAGACACACCAATGGCTTCCCCAGGCAGCTGCCTGGTCATCCCAGTGCTGCTTATGACACAGAGCCCAGAGTCAAGATAGTTCAAGAGCTAAGCTGGCCCCTTTAGAGTGGAGATGTTTCTGCCAATTCAGGTCCTTGAACCACCTTTTGCCAAGGGACAGCAAATGCTCTTTGGTCCTTAAGGAACTGGGAGTTGGAGTGCCACAGCCAGCAGAACAGGGGCCTCACAAGCCAGAGCCTGATCCACTACTCCCTTGGTGAGGCAAGGCTGAGACCAAGCAGAAATCAACTGTCAGTTCCTTAGAACAGGAATTCTAACTTTGTGAAGGCACTGTCTCCTGAAAACTCAGCTCCAAAATGAAGGATGCATCAAGTGAGACTGGGTCCGTTCCAGCAGGAGTCTTTGGAACACAGTGCAACAATTACCAGGCAGGTCCATAATGATAAGATGGGCCCGAGATCAAGCAAGGAAGTCCATCCATGTGCCAGTGTACAGAGCAGCAGGGTCCATAGCCAAACACAGGGATGCTGGAGTTACAGAGTATGAGTCCTTCAACACAACCCGGATAGGGACTTAGTGGGGGGCCAGTGCAGAGCTTAAATAAAGCCCCTGGGCAAGGGTAGGGTGGGGTTGGAGGTCCCAGATGAGGCTGGTCAGTCATTAAGAGCAATGAGTGCCCTCAGGCTCCTGCCACTTATCATCTAGGTCCAGGAATACTAGAGCTAATGCCAGTGAGAAGGTCAGGCCGTGCAGCTGGGGTAGGGTTTCTGCAGAACCAGCCAAGGCTTGCCTGCCCTGACCCTCTGAGGTGACATTTCACATTACATCTGAGCTCATCTAACAAGCTGCCCGCAATAAAAAAATCTCTTTTGTTTTCTGTATGCTCATCTGGGCAAGTCCATTCCTCCAGATCAATGTTCCTCCAGATCAACCAGTTAGGTCAGCTCCCCCCCCCAGCTGCTGGGGTGTTAGATCCAGCAAAGGGTGGGCTAGGAGCAGCTGAACCAGTGCTTTTGGCAGTAAGATTAAACTTGTTCAGCTGTAACACAGAAGTGTTCCCTTCATCTCTGTGTTTGGTGTGTAACAAAGACAGACATCCATGAGGTCCAGGTACCTCTGAGCTGGGTACAGGGATGACCCATGGTGGGTGGCTAAAGGTACAAAATAGGTCTATGGCAGATGGGGAAATGAAGTGCAGATTCCCCAAGTCTTCATTTAGCTTCAGAGTGTTAGATACATGCAGTGTGAAAGGATAAATCATTTATAATTAAAACCCAAACCCTTATTTTTAGCTGCAAATCTACCAAAGTGCATGCAATTAGCAAATATAAATCACTTCCTGGCTTGAAGACTGCAGCACAGCACATAAAGGAAAGTTAAAACATACGTTTGGGGAGTACATGGTACATCTGCTCTCAATCTGCAGCATTTGGAAATCAATACAATTATTCCCCCTACTTTTCCTTCAGCATGCTGCAGCCTGTCATACCACAGTGAAAGAACCAAAAATATATTAAACAAAGGAACTGGAGTGGACACAGCCCTAAACACCATAAAATGAACAGCACAGAGTATTCATAATGAACTGATGGCAAAAAGTAGTCGAGGTAGGATAAGTGCTGGCTTGGGAGGACAAATTAGTTTCTCCTACATGATCTGCAGGACGCTTTGGAGATGTAACACTCAGATAAAGCTTCAGAAGGTGACTCTGGGGAGAGGAATCAACTGCTTGATGCATGCCTACATACTTTAAAACAAGGAAAGGCTTGTAGTCAATATCTTTGTGGAATTAGTTCCCGCAGGGAAAATGTATTACACACAAAACTTTTTGATTCTTTTTTTGGTTTAATGAAAAGATAGCAAAGGAGCTGCTGTCTGGGAGTGATTTGTAAGTACAATAAACCTCACAAGAGGATGATAAGCAAAATATTGTAAGAGAATAATGTCAGAAGTATAGCAAAATAGAAACGTTACACATTTGTAGTTGCTGACAAAGTGCGTTCTAAAGTATCATGTCACGTTCTAAAAGAATCCTTGTTTTCCTTCCCATCTTTCACCAATACTCCTATTAATCTGTACCAGATTCCTTTCTTTCAACCATTTGAGGCCACAGTAATAATCATCCTTTGCCCATCTGAAGTCCAACTAGAATTACACCAACGTGTTAAGGCTTCCGGAGTGGAACCTGGAGATGAGGTTGGAACTGCCTGTGGATTCCTGGAATCTGTGCATCCACGGACAGACCACATGTAAACCTGATTTCACTGCTGGGTTTTAAATGCTGGCAAAACATGACAAACAACATGGTGCTTTATAAAGATTGGAGATGTACTTCCACTGTCAGCTCTTTAGAACAGGAATTCTGACTAACTTTGTGACGACATTGTCTCACTTGATGCATCCTTCTTTTTCTAGCTGAGTTTTTGGAAGCTTTTGAAAGGAACAGGAGATATCAATGTGAATTTTCTGCATTTCAAAAGAAAAACCAGCCACTGCAGAGAGAACAGGCAAGCACAAGACAGGCATATATTGTGCAATCTGGTCTTCCCCAGCAAGTTAGATGTCTTGTAAAAGTCTGCTGCAGACAGTTAAGAAATACAGATACTGGATATCATGCCTGTGAAAAAATGTATGTTCTATGATGGCACAGCAAAAGCTTTCCCTTTTGTTCAGAATGACATTAGGAAAATGGTTGATAAACCTGGTGATCGTGACAGAGCCCTGGTGAGCAATTAGTTCGGGTTCCAGTATTTGTGACTTCAGCAGGAGTAAGGAAAGACACCAAGGACAGGGAGGTGATGGACTGCACTTGACGCATTGTTTTAGTTACAGGTTAAATCCAGCGCTGGTCCTTGTCAGGATGTTTCCTGAGGTGCCTTTCACTGCCTGAATCTGGCAGGTCAGCTGCGGAGCAGCACAAGGTATGTCCTGGAGGTAGGGGACACACATCTCCTGCCTGCCAGGGGCCCCTCTATTTTAAAGGCCACGTCAAGCCAATAAGTAGGTGTGTTTGTGCTAATCTTTACAACAGCTCTGTCTCCTCAGGCTGAAGAAGAGGAAAAGCAAAGGACTGGCAAAGGACTCTTTAAGAGGGAATGATGGAAGAGAGCACTGTCAGGGGTCAGAGGACAGGTTGTAGCCCTGGGGAATGACAGGGCGAGTATCAGGAGGTGCAGTACAAATCTTGTTCAGATAATCTAGTTCAGTCTGTGATCTGGGAGTACTTTGGAAATTGGCAGGAGACTATGGAAAAGATAAAAGGAAAAGCCTTGAAATAGACCACAATTCTTTCATATGTGTATTACACTGGAATTTTATGTATGTAGCAGAAGGACTCTGTTCTTTATATCCTGAAATTACATACCTCCATAATATGTGATGTTGCCCTTCTGGAAGAGTGAGGGTGATAGAATGGGACACAAACACCACCAAGTGCTTAATAACATATGCAAATATTGGCACACTTATTATGCATGATTTTAGTTGTTATTACTTTTTTCTTTCATAACTGTGCGTTGGCACCTCAGCATTTCATTATATTTCGTATTCATTGTGCAGGGCACTTCCCAAGTGTTAATTTAACAACCAGGCGTGGTGGAGAGTAGGATGGTCAATGGGAGAAGCGTGTAACAGCGATGCTTCCATGTAGTCACACAGGCTCTATGTGTGACTATATTCACATTTCAGATGCTGAGCTTTGCAGTTACCCTTTGAGAGGAAAGAGCTGCTAGTGTTTTATCTCTAACTTTCTCATTATCCCCAATAGTGAGTCTTAAAAAGAAGGCAATGGATATCCAGCTCAGTTCAGGCATGAGCAGGTTGTCCTTTTGCAAGATGTCGCAGGTGATTTCAGGTGAAACTCCTCCTTAACATCAAAGAGGCCACAATTCCTCTTGCAAACTGGGTTTGCTTTTTCGAAAAGGAATCAATGAACCCAATCCTCAGCAAAACTGATTCAGGGAGAAGGTTGTTAAGGCCACAGTTTGGAAAACTGAACTGCCTTAATCCATGAAGTCACACCATTTACAGGTAGCCCCAGACCTTTATGTAGTAAGTAGCCCTGCTGGGAAGCACCATGATTGTCATCAGCATGAACAAGGGAGATTTCACTCACCACCGCCCTAAACAATATCATCTTTGTGGCCAGGCATGTGAAGCTGTAAAATTCTGCAGTCATTAGGGGAAGAAGAATGTCACAGTTTTTGCAGGAGAAAAATAGATGCCAGAATCCTCGCTTTGACAGGTTAATAAGAAGGCCCCTACGTTTGCCTTTACAATTTATTTACTTGTAAGTCTACACAGGGATTTCGTTAGGAATTTGGCATCTTAAACAGGCTTTTATTCCAACAACATTTCAATTCACCTTTAAGACTTTCAATTAGAGACAAAGTGAACTAGAGATCCATCGGTGGAATTTGCATGGAAGTTGGCAGGGGGTTGGCAAAGCCGTGATAGCAGGGTTTAGGTATCAGGTTTATAGACTCGTATTGAACTATCTAACATCTCGTATTTTCCACGTAAAACTTTTATTGATATCAGCGTGAGTTTAGCACACCACTAAAATGGAGACTGTGCCCCTAGGACACAGAATGTTGTAAGGTACCCCTTTTAGTAAGAACAATTTGGCCCCACTAAATCTTGATGGTGAATGTTTGCTTTAGTTCCCCCATAAACTTCGTCTGCTGGATTTATATATTTTGGCTCCTTTTATTTTGACTCTAGTGGCTGCGTTTGCAATGGGCTTAAGTGAATGCAATTCCACTCACACCAGCAGCAAATCTGCAGCACAGTGGGTATTTCTGGTTGTATAAATACAGGGCCTCATCTGGCAAGATGCTGAGTGGACTAACGTGGCCGGGTGAGATCCGAGAGCGCTCAGCACCTCGAGGGAGAAATTCCAGACCTTGCAGCAACTGCACCTCCCTCCACACAGCCTGTCTGCGGTCATTTCTATAGCCCTTTGTCCCAGTCAGAGCTCACGTTTGCTTATCATCTTTTCCATCACAAACACCAAAGCTAAAGTATTCCTTTTCCTGCTCTTACAGTTCTTACCTCTATCTGCAACAGAATTATTTAAATGAAGAGGATGATGAAGAGGTTTCTCCCCTCTGTAGCTCTGTGAAATTCAGCTTTCACTCGTTTTGGGGTGGAGGTTTTCAATAAAGCAGTATTTCAGGAATGGCTTCAGTGGGATTTCTTAATTCTTCTGCTCTATTTAGAGATGGGTTTTTAAAAACCCATTTCAACTGCAGTGAAAAAGTCTCTGATCTGATAAAGGAGATGAAGTCACTGCACAGGCTTATTATTTTATTTCCATAAGGTTTGAAAGTTTTCTTCCCTGCAGTGTTTTGGAGCCCAGGAGTATTCATCTGGTTTGTAAAAGGAAAGTTCTGTGGAGCAACATTTGGTCACTGCTGTCTGAATTTCATTATTCTCTTCCCCAGACTAGCAGAGGGGAAAAGTGCAAGTTAGCTGGGTCACAGCCTGAAATGTGAGAGCAGGCAACTTGTGCTGAAGTTTATGGGAATGAAAGGAAATTTAATACTGTTAAAAGAGAGATTTCAAGTTGCATCATATGAAAACAATTGGAGACGTTTAATCCTGAGGTCTTGGGGTATTTGGTAACTTACATGACCATTTGTCAGCCTACACAAGATGAAGTTGGCTTTGCCTCTGTTAAAAGTTGGCCTCTGTTTTGGAGTGGTATGCTGATGCCAAAGGAACAAATACAAGTTATCTTGGTTTTCTAGCCCACTGCTAGTTCTATTCTTTATCCTTTCAGCTCATGACATGTCTGCTTGTCTCTTCTGGGTTGCCAGTGCGGATCTCCCACCGATCTCGCCAACACGTGCTGACAAGCCTTTCATCTCAAAGGGACTACAGAGCCTGACAGCTTCCCAGACTCCTGAAATGCTGAATACATATCCATAATTTAACCTCTGCCTCTCAGCCTGCTTCAGGACTCATACGTGGCATTGTCTGTGGAATGAAAGTGATGGGATCCTGGGACGTAAGTGAATACTTCTGGTGTATTTTTAACCTAAAAGATGTTGATTAAAACATTCTTTAGATTTACATTAGTTTCTATGGAGTAAATGAAACTGAACATCTACAGAGCTTTAAAGGTCTATAAATTAGAGATGTTTTCCAGCGTGTTCCAATGCAAATTCCATCAAATAACTCTTAGCAAAATCATTTACTGTTAAGAAAATCCTCCTAAAAAGTAGCCTATGCCTCCTGTGTCATCTTCTACTCCTACCACTGATAAATCCTCTCTGGTTTTGGCATCTGCATCAGCACCTTCAGTGTTTGGCCATCACTGAGTTGCTGCTCATGCTCTGGGGATGCAGCCCAGCCCACGGGGGGGTTCTGGGCTCAAGTACACACTGAAGCCAAGTCATGGGGTGCTTCTCCTCACCCAGCACCCCAAGTCCTTCTCCTCAGGGCTGCTCTTCTCCACCCAGCCTCTGTGCTTTCCAGTTAGTGCTTCATGGCTTCAGCATTCTTTGCCATGGACAATTGCTGCAGTGCTATAAAGTGAGGCAGTGCTGTGTGCTGTTGCTACTACAAAGCCTGCAGTTGCTATGGAAGATGTTCTTTGCTTTAACACAGCTGTACACATTACAAAACCTTCTGTGCAGGACAGACCTGCACAGCTCAGGACACATGTCTCAAACTCCCAGGTTACCAGTCGAGCTCAGCCAGCCCAGAGCTGCCAAGGGGAGCCAGGAGAGCCATTGTCTCCCTCTTCTCCCATGGGCGCTTTCCAGGGATGAGACAAGCACTGCAGTGTCTGCTGATTCTGACTCACCTGATCATACAGGAAATCCTCAGACATCTGCACCGGAGCTCCACAATGGGGCCTTTAGTCAATGCTGAAAGCATGAACCAGAGGAGGGGTTGCAGATGTTGATGTTAAACATAATATTGATCTTGAAGTCATCGAGGGGTATCAATGCCATTACACCAAGGGGGAATGGCTTGAACCTGCCAGAGGGGACTGAGATGAGCTCTTAGGCAGAAGCTCTTCCCTGTGAGGGTGCTGAGGCGCTGGCCCAGGGTGCCCAGAGAAGCTGTGGCTGCCCCATCCCTGGCAGTGTTCAAGGCCAGGTTGGACACAGGGGCTTGGAGCAAGCTGCTCTAGTGGAAGGTGTCCCTGCCCGTGGCAGGGGTTGGAACTGGCTGAACTTTAAGATCCCTTCCAACACAAACCAGGCTGGGATTCTAAGGGCTGAGCTCCCAGAGCCACCATTCCTCAGCAGCAGTCTCACCAGGGTTTCTCTCTCTGCCATGCTGCAGTGAAGCACCATTGCACACAGTGTTTAACACATTGCACACCATCTTTGCTAACTCGCATCTATATCCAATTTGAAATATGTTCACAGATTTCCAGGTGTCACCAAGAAGAGACACAGAAAGGGGGGTGACCACTTGGGGCAGTGACAGCAGTGATGTGCTGGTAGGTGTGTTACCTGTGTGCTGCCCACTGAGAAGTTAAACTCAGGAAAGTGTCCTTTGGTTGCAGGAAATCCGAGGAAATCTCTGATAAGAGGGGTTTAATTGGAACACTGCAAACCAGGATGTGTTAGGAATGTCTAACAGAATGGTTTTCATTTTTAATAAGCTGGGTTAAAGAACACAGGCTGGACCTGCCACCCTTCATTAGGAAATGTGCCCCTCAGCCATCTGAACCCACTGACTCCCCTGCTTCCCACACAACTTAACCTCTCAGCTTCCACAAACACAATATTATCAGGACACCCAAAGCTAAACCCCAGCAAGTGTGGGGCTCACTCAGACCTCCTGAAGTTGGTTGGAGCTCAGGTACTCCTCAAATAAGCAGGCAGGACCTAACGGGGGCAAATCCATTTTGGCATCCTAATAAACTCCTGTTTAGATGTTTCAAATAACACTTATGTGCTAATTCACTTCTTCAGCCTTAGCTGCATAGAACTGATGCTTTCCTTTTGCTTTGTGAAAGGCTGCGCTTCACCCTGAAAGATGCAGGCATCTGGAACTACACAGGACCATCATTTAAATACATATATGTGTATATGCATTTTCCCTCTGTCATCCAAGTGGTCAGACTCTCAAGCAATTTGAATTTCTTATGAAGGGAGAAACACCTCAAAGCTGTCACTGACCCAAATTAAATCCTGGCATTGCTTTAAAATCCCATTCTTTACTTTTGTGCCATGGATTGGAAGAGCTGAGCATCTGCTGACTGCCCTCATAAAACCTCTGCTTTGAGGCTGACTGTAATTACAGAGTACTTTCACACTTCTATCTCCAGGCAGCACTGGGACAGGACAGATTTATAGTCTCTGACTCCTGTTTCATCCAGTTTTGCATGGTCAGAAGGGAAGATACAGAAAACTTTCTCTCTTCTTCCCTTCTTCCTGGATGAGTGTGTAATACTGGATCAGGGCAGTCCCAAGCACAAATACAGGCTGGGTGGAGACTGGATGGAGCAGCCCTGAGAAGGACTTCAGCATGTGCTTGAGCCCAGAACCCCCCTGTGTGCTGGGCTGCACCCCCAGAGCGTGAGCAGCAGCTCAGGGAGGGGATCCTGCCCCTCTGCTGTGCTCTGGGGAGACCCCCCCTGCAGCCCTGATCCAGCTCTGGGGCAGCAGCACAAGAGGGACGTGGAGCTGTTGGAGCGAGGCCAGAGGAGGCCATGGAGATGCTGCGAGGGCTGGAGCAGCTCTGCTCTGGAGCCAGGCTGAGAGAGCTGGGCTGGGGCAGCCTGGAGAAGAGAAGGCTCCTGAAGGGGAGACCTGAGAGCAGCTCCGGTGCCTGAAGGGGCTGCAGGAAAGCTGGAGAGGGGCTTGGGACAAGGGCCTGTAGGGACAGGCCAAGGGGAATGGCTTTAACCTGCCAGAGGGGAGACTGAGATGAGCTCTTAGGCAGAAGCTCTTCCCTGTGAGGGTGCTGAGGCACTGGCACAGGGTGCCCAGAGAAGCTGTGGCTGCCCCATCCCTGGCAGTGTTCGAGGCCAGGTTGGACACAGGGGCTTGGAGCAAGCTGCTCTAGTGGAAGGTGTCCCTGCCCGTGGCAGGGGTCGAAGCTGGAGGAGCTTTAAGGTCCCTTCCAACACAAACCAGTCTGGGATTTTGTGATCCTTGCAGGCAAGTAACCCCACAGGAGAAGACAAAGCCCCATGTGTGCTCCCCAGCATCAGTGGCAATCCTCCAGCCAGGGCAGGTCTTCCACTTAAGCTGCCTTGATGTCAGTGCCTGGGTTGTGGATGGACTTTTCTCCAAACAATTCATTCACCAGCACTGTTTGGAGATCAAAGCTGCTTTTCATTCCAACAGGGGCTGTCTCCAGTGCTTTAGCATTTATCAGGTTCATTCTACATAATTGGATCCTGCCCTATCTCTTCTAGCTCCAGCCAGCAGCCCAAGCCTTGCTGCTGCAGCAACAACTCCCCTTGTCATCCTTCATGGAAGCGCTGGAGCTGATCATCCCAAAGGCCTCCCAGTCTCACCATGGGAGGTTAATCGCATTGCAAAGGGACACCCATGACTGGTAATGTAGTGCCAGAAACAACACAAGCACTCTGCTTGCGAACTTCCTAAACTCCTCCGCTTCCCTCCAGCTCCCCCTGTCTCCCAGGAGCACTGGATAAACAGAGTCAAATGATTCAAAGCTTCGAACAGGCGCTCCCTGGGACACTGGGACTTGCTTTGCTCATTTATTCCCTGTACATCTTATCTGGGGGGTTTTACCTTGTTTTCTGCTCTGGATGCAAGGAGGGTCACTGGGACCTGAGGCAGAGGGATGACCCCACAGCAGGGAGCAGTACAGCACGGTGGGAGCCTCAGCACATCTTAAAGTCACCCTGTGGCACCCAAGGGAGCAGAGTGTGAAAGGGTTTTAACAGTGCTTCCAGAATGACCCTTATAACGGAGGCAAAGGTGCTGAACTGAAGTTGGTGCAAAGTCTTTCTGAGCAATACCATGATTAGATGCCATTGGTTGGATGGGGCTTGGAACACCCTGCTCTACTGGAAGGTGTCCTTGCCCATGGCAGGGGGCTGGAACTGGATGAGCTTTAAGGTCCCTTCCAACACAAACCAGGCTGGGATTCTATGATTTTCCTAAACTGTTTTCACCAGGCTCCAGGTGACCGCTGGGTTTCAGCTTTGGCCTTGGGAGCCTACGCCTGCGGAGCAGCTTGGTGGCCTGGGCACTCACTAAGGACTTCAAAGATGCAGTAATTTTGACCTGTGAATGAACACCTGGAGTATGGATGAAATCACAAGTGAGGTGTAACAAGACTATGGGCCCATCAGAGACACTTTACCAGTGCTGCCCTCTGGAGAGAACCAGTCCACAGGTGAAACATGAGCAGGTCCTACAGAGCAAGAGGAGTTTGGAGCTTTTCTGCCCATAGCACAAAGCTTCAGCCTCTGGTGCCTGTGCTCACTGACACTAGCCACTCAAACCATCACCCCACTGCTGCCTGTCAGCCTGGCAATGGCACCTCTGCAAGACCCACCAGACTGGGACCAGAACCCACTGAGGGGCAGTTTGGTGGCTGATTTCCATGCTGTGTATGGCTGTGGTTGCTTTTGTCAGTGAGCTCTTGTAATGTGTTTTCATCTTTGCACAGCACAAATGGAGGGCAGAAAGGAGATCCTGCATTACATAAACACGGGGTAAATATTAGAACACATACGAGGAGTGAGACATCTGGACCTGATTGGACTCCTCCGGGGCAAGAGTCTAAAGCTTGAGCCTGAAGAGAAGCAAAGAAAGAGCAGGAGTAATTTCTCATGGGTGAGCCCATCAGTGAGAGGGGCTGAGGCTCTGCATCCCTGGCAAACACAGCCCATGAATGGTGATTCCCTGTTGCTGTGGAGAGTCATTGGCTTGGAGGGAATCTGCTGCAGCACAGCCCAGAGTAAAAGCGAGTTTCCTGGGAAAATCATGACTAAGTGAACCTCTGAACGCAGAATGGAATTCTCCAGTATTCATAGTGGGACCAGTTATCCCATTCCACCAGCCAGGTTTC